AAAAAAATAGATATAAGAAAGGAGAAATCTCTATCAATCAGCCCAATGATGATTATTTTTGTGGTTTACTGCCGATAATGCCTATCTAAATGTGTTGCTATGTTATCTGAGTTAGATGTTATTCAATTATTAGTAGTCTTGTTTGCTTTTCTCATTTATAGAGACTTGAGAATAGACTTATCTCTTGGATTACGTACTTGCATCAGTTTCTGAATACATAAACAAACTTGGAAGTGTTACTGCCACTAATGACCACTATCATATAAGATATGAAAAGTTGGAAACCCCATTATCCCTATTGGAGTTAAATTTTTATTTTTCAGAATGGTAATTCCATTATAAACTTGGTTAATCTTCAGAATTTTGGGTTTGGCTCCTATATAGTGCAAGATGTACCTTAACTTGGGCATAGTCCAGAGTGTAGCTGTTGACTGGAAATTAATGATTGAGATTTTAACAACTTTATAATTTGTTGGACATGTATATTATAATAACCTGAACTATTGGTTTTCAATCAAGTATTATCTTCACTAACTCTCTAATGTACCCCTGCAATTCACAGTAGCCCAATAACGTTTTCTTTCTTCCTTGGATGCTTTATTTGATTTTTTTTTTTCATTGTTAAATGGTTAAAGTACATGTTGAAAAATCTAATTGATTTGTTCATTGCATGGTCTTTTTCTTGAACTTCTTTTCCACTTTCAATGTAGATATTCTCTGAGAGGAGGGGACAATGGAAAGCTGCAACACAATCCCAGGAGTTCTTTAGGACTCTTCAACGATATTACAGCAATGCTTACATGGATGCTGAGAAGCAAAATGCAATTAACATGTATGTGCCATGGTCATGTATTTCTTAACTGTTTATTGTCTCGTGGTTGGATTCATAGCTTGTCTTATTGCTCCACTTAGCATGTTTGATGTGGAACTTGGGTGCCTATAATACCCAAGTTTCCATTTATTTCTCCCTACCAAATTCTCATAACTGGGAAACGTAGAGAAGAAAAACGTTAGAGTTGAGCAAAGTCTCTTTCTGTGGGTTGTACATGGTGTATCCCTCATAAATGAATTTCCTTTGACTGTAGTGAGTTGTGGAGGTAGTTGCACTGGCATTACGTACATTACTGCACTTATTTATATCTTGTACAAATCTTATCCTGGATCTGCCGAAGTTCCCATATTTTTCACTTGATTGTGACCTTATCCTATCTCCGATTTAAATTATCTATACTAGTTATAATTTTAATATTGTACTATTATTATATATTCCTGTTTGCAAAGATTGTCTTTTTCGTGCTATTAATTAGTTAATTAATTATTGTCTTATAATAGCAAACTAGTCTTTCTTTTTCTTGGCACAGATTCCTGGGGCATTTTCAGCCACAAGTGGGTAAGCCTGCTCTATGGGATTTGGGCCCAGATCAACATTATGATATAGGGAGACATGGGGATGATGATGCAAGGTAATTGAATTTAATATATGGGAATACCCTTTTTTCATTCTTTTGTAAGTTAGTCCTTGATTAAAGACCTTGGGTTTTTAGAGTTTGTCCCTGTGAAATTTCCTACTTTAGGTATAATTCTTGACACATTCTATTTGTTTTAATTCCAATCGGTTTTTAGATGAAATTTGACAATGAGTGTGGTTGACATGCGAGTAGTGCTTTTGGCAACTCACATGGTGAACTGCTATTGCCACTATGTTTTAAAAATATAGTATGATTTAAGTTTTTACGTCTTTTAATTTCGACAGGGAAAACATGAACAATTTTTAGAACTCGGTGTATGACTAATCTTATCTTTGTTGTGCACATTTGGCCCAAAACATAATCTGAGTTTCCATGTCAATGCATATTAAAGAGATTGGGCGTGAGATTTGTCAATCTTTTGTACACAAGCCTCTTAACTGTTAAACTCAAATGCAGCAATAAGTATGATTTTTGAAGATTTATGGTAAATACTGACCTATTTTGCATTTTCACGTATGCAAATCTGTCTGCTAATGAAGGTATATAACAGTTATCAAGTTACTGTTAGAATTTGCTACGAGGATTTGAAGTATAGCTGTGGTGATTTGTGGGAATAGCTTTTAAATCCATATGTCGTAGATGAAGGGTTTGGTGAATCTTTTAAGTTGAAGTGTTTCAAAACTTGGATGAATGTTGCTGGCTGGGCATTAGCACTGTGACATGATCTTTATTTTTTTGTTAAATGAGAGATAGCATATAATTTGACACTACAAAATCATTGTGGGCTTTTTGTGAATATATATCATTAAGTTCTTGGAGATGCAGCTTATGTGGTCTGAATTATGAATTTTAGGTCATTTGTCAAAAGGTGTTTCTCGGATGGAAGCATCGTTCATGGCAGCTCCTTACCCACGTCAGCCTCAAATTCAAATATTGAAAAATTCTCAAAGCTAGGTTTGCAGAACCAATCAGAAGAAGGAAACAATGATTTTTGTGACTCATTGCCTGAAATATCAACATTTGAGAGTGACATGGCATTTTCAAGGTTTGTAATTGTAATTATTAATGTGACTGTTAACATGTAATCCAGTTACCATATGTAGGAAGAGACAATTTAAGTCACAGTAAAATTACCCCAAATGGTGCTCCCATAAGGTGAAATCCCAGATTCAAGTATCAACTCACTGTTTACCCAATTGGATAATCTAGTTTTGAATAAGTATGCTTAAAAATTATAGTTTTGCTTTACTAATCCATCTTACTAAGATAAGAAAATATTGATACTAGATAGATGATTTGATAATGTGGCTTGTGGCTGTTCAAAACAACAAAAAAATAATGTGGCTAGTGAATATATTATAAACAGAACATTGCTTAATTGCTTGCTCTTGAATAGTTAGTTACGAGATAGTTATAATTTGTACAGCTGTCAACTGAACAGGTCCCCTATAATGTAACGACTTTCTCACCAAGAAATAACAGCTCAGTTTATTTGTGTATCTCTTATCTTTTTTTCTGTTTTTTTTTTGTCTAATTCAATATTATATCAAGAGCTTAGTGACCCCTACGGCTGATAAGAATCCTAATCCTACTTCAATTCCCACCTCCGCCCCAGTCACCTCCAATGAGTTACACTTTGTTGTATGACAACTACAGAATTAATCAGTCAACATATAAACAGTCTTCAATATTTTTTATGTCTTCTCATAGCATACCTTTTTTCTTGAGAACAGAAGTACCTAAATCAAGATTGTCAACAGATATGCTTTTGTGATAGGGTAGATTTTGTTCTTCTATTTGAGACAGCCTCTGTTTTTCCTTGTTTTCTTTCTTTCTCTTGTATTCATGTTGAAAGGACCAGATTACGCTGCATAATGTTAAGCTAAATTGTATCAACAACCATATAAATGTACTAGTACAAGCTGCCAACTTGGTGGTGTTTTTGGTTTCTTTTTTTTTTTTTTTTTTTTTGGTCATTACCATTCTCAAGCATTTCTAATGGTTTTAGTTTGTGATTTTAAAATTTGTGATTCAAAGTGGTGTAAATGTTGGTGTTTATACTATATTCTTACAAGCTTAGATAATGATATTGAATAAAAAAAGTGACGCTTGTAATTATAATAAAAACATATGAACTGAAAATAGAAAATAAACACCTCTTGCTTCTTGCTCGGTTGATGACATTCAGTTATTTTCTGCTTCATTATGTCTATCTAGTTATCTTATGAATGGTTTGCTATTCTTGTTTTTATAGGTACACTCCCTCATTGCCTCGTCGACAGCTTTTTGTAGACGGACCAAGAGAGCGGTACCTTGATGGTAAACATATTTCACATTCTGCACATGAGGCTTCATTCAGCAGTTCCAACTTTGTTGACCTGGATTGGCTGTCTTCTTCAGGAAATTCATGTGAAGAAGAGCCATTTGAAAGGTAATGCTGCATCGCATTCCAGTGAAGCATCTATATAGATACCTAGAGAGATATGTATTTGCTAAAACATTTTTTTATTGGGAGTGAGAGTTATGGAAGCAACAAAATAGAGTGGGGAAGGGTAAATGTTGAATATATTTGAGAATTACAATTTTGGATTGAGAATGTGTGTAGGGTGTATGATGTACATAAGCATATCACACATATCTCCGAAGTAGATTTACTTAAGTTACGTTGTATAATATCCCCAAAAATAAAATAATTTTTGTAAGGCTTATTGATGTACATGCAGGTTTTCAATTGCCAATTCTTCTATTGCTGGGAATTCTTCAGAAAATGTTATCAATGGAGTTATTATAGGAGGAGATACTCCCTCCAGCAGCGTTTTAGACTCAAACACTAAGGTACCGGCCCTTCTGACATGGTATTTATGGAGCACGGGCATACTACTATGATACATGCATGACACGTTAAGATAATGGATCAGACAACTGTGTGAATTTGAAGTAAATTAAATTTCTTGTGGTACTTATACATGCTTAGTTTATTATCACAAGCTTCTGATTTTCATTTAGTTCTTTTTATGATAGCTCAATAAACATGATGTTTCATGTTTTGGGGAAGGGTCTTCCTCGATAATTACAGGTCAAGAACATCACATGTATCAATATTTATGTTGTTCCCTGTCTGATCTGATTGTAGAAATATATTTGGTGGACAATATTACTGATTTAGGATCATAATAGCTCCATGTCCGTAATTAGTCCTGAAATAGTTGAAAGTGAGTTTGACTTGTAAATTGCTTTGGTCTTTATTTCACATTTCAGATGCTAATTCCTTGTAATATTCTCAGGGAAGAGAGCGAACTGGGTCAGAGTTATCCTACCGTGATGCCCAGTCCAAAGTTCTAGAGGAATATCCTGATACTTTTGTACAATGGGTGAATAATGGACAGACACTTTGCAATTGAACTTTCACACAAGGATCCCTTGCATTTATATATAATGTAAATTTATTTAATTGACTTGGCTTGCTCAAAAGATGGCTAGTGAAAGAGATTTGAGTGAGCTAAACATATGCGATACAGAAGCCATCGTAAGGAAAAAGAATATATACAGGCTTTCGAGCAGCTTCCTCTGTAAGATGCTGCTCTCGGAAGAAATCCTACCGGCTTTCTTGGTATTGATTTGCAGCAGCATTAATTCTGTCCTCACAATCTCTCAATCAAATCTTGAGGTATAGTAGGACAGAGTAAATAGCAAAATGTTGTAAAATTGTTTTTCTTTCTTTTTTTCTCGCAGGAGCTCATTGTATTTTTCTTTCGTCAGTTGATGATCATATTAGGTGCATTTCTTGTATATATTAACTTGTTTGTCTGAGCTCCACTTCTAGAATTGCTAAATAATTAATTCTTTTAAATAATTCCGCTTCTTGTAATGTATAATTCTCTCCGCTCTCATACTAGCGGTGATTTAAGTTTCCATCTCCTGCTGCAGTGAAGATCTGGAACGAGGTGTCCTCTGGCCTGGAGTTGCATATTTTCCCTTTTCCATTTTAAATTTCATTTTTTGTCAATTTGTTAATGTATGAAATTTTACGGAGTTTTGATCAATTATTCTGAACAGGTTCTCCAACCAATTTCGTGTTTGCATTTAAATATTGTAGTAAACTTCAAATTGAATAAAGACACTTTTTCAGGTTAAACTGATATGATTGTGGACATTATACCTTGATAGAAAAAATGGAAAAGGAGAAAAAAAGTAATGCGTGTAGTTAAGTCATATAATATATTTAATTATGTAGTTGTAATATTGGAGAGTGTTTATATAGCAATGTTTTATAATTTGTCTTAAGATCATGAATTTCAATTTTGAAGTGTTTGTAGGGTATGACGCATAAGTATAAATGAAAAGATACAGTTTTAGGTGGGTAGTCCCGCGGAAAAGTAGCCGTTGGAGCGATCAAAGAAGGAAGAAAGAAAGAAGATGTTGAAAGTGTTCGGGCGGCAGAAGCAGTCGCGTGCGTTCAAGGAGTACTACTTCGAGTGGTTCAACACCCTAAAGAAAAACCTCCTTCCCCTCCTTCGCCGCTCCATCGCAGGTGAGTCACCCACCATCCTCTCCAGCCACGTGGAGATGCTCCACCAGCACTTCCAATCCTACTACCACGCCCTAGACGCCGCCGCCACCACAGACCCCACCCAACTCCTCTCCCAGGACTGGCGCAACTCCCTCGAAAAACCTCTCCTCTGGCTTGCCGACCTCCACCCCTTCCTCTTCACCAACCTCGTCCGCTCCTTTCTTCACCAACAATATCGCCCCGAGACTGACCAAAACAACCCCCGCCGCCACCTCCCCCTCCCCTTCCCTGACCGTCCATGGCAGGTAGCTCTTGCATGGAGCAATTCCTCTGACTCCCTTACCGCGTGCATGGACCAGATCGAGTGCCGCCTCCGCCACATCGTAACCACCCTCTCAGACCGCCTCAAGTGCGCCGAGAGCGCCTTCATGGAGTGCGTCGTGGGGAACTGGTTCCAGTGCTGGGAGGAGCAGAATATCGCCGCCGCCAAGGAGGCGGTGGGCGCGGACGTTAAGGCGCATATGGAAGAGGTGGTGAGCGTGGTTCTTTATGCGAACCGCGTGAGGCGGAGCGTTCTTGTGGACATAATGAGCGCGACCACTGTGTACCAGGCGGCGCTCTTTCTTGAAGGCCTGGCCCAATTCCTCATTGGCTTCAGAGAGCAGGACCTCCTCAACGCCGTTGAACAGTGCAAGGTCTTGCCTCACGCCAAACACTCTCGCACTTCCTCTCACTGATCCATACTCCACTCTATCTATTTCTTTCCCCTCTTTTTTCATCGTCCCCATTTAAGCTTCATTCAATAAAATACTTATAATTCATCTTCTTTACAATTGCTTAAACTTCCTCCTCCTGCATTTCATTCCTTCATACGCTCAAGGACACTTTTTTCCTTTTTTTCCCATCACCCCTTTTTCTTTCTCATCCCCTTTAGGACACATCAATTTTAAAATCCATTAAAATTGGTTTCCGTATTCATTGCTTGTGAATTCTTTTTCAGTAATCAACTTTTTCTCCTTTTTCTTCAGAGTGTCAATCAATATATTAAAATTCTTAAATTTTAACATCATATACCTCATTTCAAAAATCTCCACAGCATTCGCCAGGTCGCTTATAAGTGAATGAATAACCAAAAAAGAAAAAAGTTTAAACATGTTTCTTCATAAACTTCTTTTAAAAAGATTTTTTTTTAATTTTCTTTTTTGAAAAGGAATTTACAGAAAAGTTTGTCGACACGAAAAAAACTCTAGTATTATATACATACGTATACTTATTACTAAAATATTATAATATTTTTATATTGGGTAAAGTAAATGCTGTTACTTGGTATTATTCCGACGTTACAGACCTAAATTAGTATATTAATATCTTAGTATTAAATCACAAGATCATATGGAAAGGAATTTCTTCCTCACCCCATGTTTTCTTCATCTACTTCCACGGAAAGCATTTTTCTTAAATGAATGAATAAACAAATTCAAAGTGTAATTTCTTTTTAGCCAAAAGGTTGGTGTAATTAAGTTACTATGTTTTATCCAACTTCATACCACAAACAAAATCAAGTTTTATAAAAGAAAACAAAAATAAACTACAAAATATAAAGCAAGTTTGTCATGAGATCTGGTTTATCAGTGTTTTCCGGCTATACACTCCTTTTGATAAAAAGAGAACGTATGAAACAGTCTTGTTTGTTATATAACTTTACATGTGAGCAATGGTTTATATTAGGCTTTTTAAACTGCAAAAGGTAAGTTTTTTATTACAGAAGATTCATCCACCCGAAGGGTTGCCTAAAATATCCATAAAGAAAATTGCATCCTGCTTTATATTAGGTAACTCAGCCATGCTTTATATGCATCTATGTATATATATATATACTATTAGTAGGTATTGACATACTAAAATATTTAAAACTTCAAACTCAAAAGAAAACATACTCATGATTAACCCGAATAAAACGGGAAAATATTATTTCCCATCGATAATTATCATTTGACAATCTATTAAAAAATAAAATATTTTCAATAAAAGTGAATTTTTATATGTATAAAAAAGTTAAAATAAAGAATAATGATAATATTGTTAAGTAAAAGAATATTAATATAAGAAAAATATTCGAAAAGGAGAAAGGAGGGAAAAAGAGATGGTAATAGTTATCTTTTGGGAAACGAGAAACCCAAAACTCATCAGAGCCCATCATTGCAACAAATATGATTCAACTCTCTTTTCACTTTTTCAAATTGCAAATGATTTTTGGCATACCAAAAGGAGATAAAATTCAGAAGAAAAAGTCAAATAAATATTCCTCATCGACAATTGCCAACGATTCAGGTCTTATCAAACTACATAAATAGTTTTGTCGAACCAAATTGCTTCAACTCACTTTCTACTCTCATTATTGTAACATTTATTAATGGGTTTTGGAGGCCACAGATGATGGAACAAATTACACGATTCCCATTGGTCAAAACCTGCAAAAGAAGTCGAATCTTTATTTTGTAGCACAAATGTCACATACAAAATAAAACACTTTCTGGGTCTTTCTGTCATTAGGGTTTATCCCAACAATGAAAAGGAAAGCTTTAATCGACAACGTGGAACTGATCGAAATTGAAACCCTGATTGGGAGAATTAGTGGAATTAGTGGAACTCATCATCATCTTAAATTCTTCCATTTTTTAGCATCTCAGCAATTTGATGCTGTGCTCAGCCAAACCCAAGATACTCAATTAGATATAGCTTTCTTTCAATTATACATCACAAATCCAATAATATTAATTTTTTTATATGTCAAAGAGTGTTTTAAACTGTCAATCAAACTAGAATGTGTTAAAATTACTAACTGAGATAAATTTCTAACTTTACTTTATTTTTTTTAAGTTTAAGAAGTAAAGATATATTTAATTTAATAAAAAATATTATTTTTTTAAAATATACTGAAGATTTATAATAGAAATTTGGAATTTAAAAAAAATTACATTATTAATGTGTTGCTACACTTTTTTGTTAAAGATATTAGGAATAAGTTTGTAAGAAACCAAAAATAATGTAAATATAAGGAATTGCAGGGATTGAGAAATACGTAGATGGAAATGAAGAATTGTGTGGATGTTGTGAAGTATGAAGTTAATGGTAACCAGCTAAAAAGAAGAAACAACTATCATATTCAAAAGAACTTATCTCAAACGCAATCTCACGCCAGGAATTGGATTCTACGTTTCATCTTTCCTTACTAAAAACAAAAACATAAAAGTAGCCATCACTAAGTACTGCACCCTCCCTCATATACAATTTCTCAATTCAACATATGAATTTGCATGTGAATCACTAATTTAGCTGACGCTTTCATTGCAAGAAAAGTGCTTTGGCTAAACTAACTAGCAATGAGCGCCATTATTAGAGATCTCTGTCCCACAATATCATCTTCATAACATAACTCACTGATTTTGTTTAGGAAAATCATCAAACACTTGGTGCTCGCTCAACCACCATCACTCATTCTCTCTATTATACAATTTAACACAATTTGCTTCACAAGTTAAGTTCACTGTGCTCTTTTTATCTTTTATCATTTTTTGCTTAAAATGCACGCTCACACATGTCTTCGTTTTTCAATTACTTTTTAGCCTCTGGATCTCATCTTTTCCACCAATCAAACTACTTTAATTATTATTTAAAATCGAATAAATATTTAAATTCATTCTTAAAGCTTGAATGTCTTTGTTTATAGCTTTCTAATTAAATTTTCATTTGTATGAATCTCAAAAAAATCTATATTGATTATTGGATTTGATTCCCTAAAAATATATTGATAGCTAATCAATCCACTTGACTGTCACAAACTCTATAAATAATACAACTGATGTGAGATAGGTACAATCATCCTTTTCTATCATAATAAAATAGTGACCTCTCTTTATAAAACATATGTGACTTGAGTGTCAACTTCTGCAGGTCAACAACTCATTAAAGTGAATTGTATTCTCGGAGAGGATGGAAGATCAAAAGAGAGCAGAGCAAGGAAGGACGGCCGACCCTCAGACCAATTCAACCAAAACAATTTAGCGCCCACTGTGGGGCCGAGTGGCGTCCCCATGAAGCCACGAAGAACCAGTCGCGCGCTCGATCTCGACATCGCTACTTCGGATCAACACCAGGTTTTGCAACCAGAGTAAAAAATTTCGTAATAATTCCTAAAGGCATGTCTTTTGTTTTAAGAACTTTCAATAAAGTTCGGTCCTACTTTCATCCTTGACAGGTTCCACTTTTCATTATAATTTATAAATTATAATATATTTGTTTAACTGATATTGTTGTGAGTAAAAATATCATGCACAGGAAGGTTCAGACCTCGGGTCAGGTTCTACCAACTCTTAATTTTAAATTATAAAATATTATGCACAGGATGGTTCAGAGGCTGCGTTCAACCTTGTCAGGTTCTACCGACTCTTAATTTTAAATTATAAATTATAAAATATTATGCACAGGATGGTTGAGAAATGCGTTCAACTTTGTCAGGTACTACCGACTCTTAATTTTAAATTATAAAATATTATGCACATGGTTCAGAGTTCAAGTTCTACCAACTCTTAATTTTAAATTATAAATATCTTCAACTGTGTCAGGTTATAATGGCCGCTTGGGGAAGTCAGAAAAATGACTTCAGAAATCCCCGCTCAACGTAGGAAGTCAGAAAAATGACTCCTGCCTCAAGTCGGGAGAAAGTCAGAAAAATGACCTCAGAAATCCCCGCTCGAGGTAGGAAGTCAGAAAAATGACTTCTGTCACAAGACCGCTCGGGGGAAGTCAGAAAAATGACTTCAAAAATCTCCGCTCAATACAGGAAGTCAGAAAAATGACTCTTGTCTCAAGCCGCTTGGGGGAAGTCAGAAAAATGACTTCAGAAATCCCCGCTCAACGCAGGAAGTTAGAAAAATGACTCTTGCCTCAAATCAACGCAGGAAGTCAGAAAAATTACCCCTGCCTCAAGACCGCTCAGGGGAAAGTCGTAAAAATGACTTCAGAAATCCCTGCGCAGCAAGTTAGAAAAATAATTCCTGCCTGAAGCCGTTCGGGGGAAGTCCGAAAAAGGGCTTCAGAAATCCCTGCGCAACGTAGGAAGTTCGAAAAAGAACTCTTATTAGTCAACTACTCAACAGGTTCAGCTTTGTCAGGTTCCAATGTCTTTTCATTATAAAAATAAATTATAAAATATTGAAGCGTTTACTTTATTTTATTTAAAAGGATATTTTTTGGACTGAAAATCTCTTGCACAGGAAAAAGTGTCAAAGAGAGCTCTTAGATCCAAAGAGAACTCCTAGAGTTTGTCGCTCGGTACAGAGAGCAATGAAGACTTAAAGCATCGAAGATAGACTCCCTAAATACAATGTGAGCGACCTCTTTTAAAACTCATAATAATCCCTTCGCACCTCTTTCAAATAAAGAGAGCTTGCTTGGGTTTGGGGGCTTATATGAAATATACCGATCAGAGTTAATGGTCATTCATGAACAATTATCAGGTATTAATAGGTCAAATTACCTTTACCTTACGCTTTACAAATATACGGTATTAATTATTGATTATTGGGTTTGATTTCCTAAAAATATACTAATAACTAATCAATGGACTTGACTACCACAAACTCTATAAATAATACAAATGATATCAGGTACAATCATCTTTTTCTATCATAATAAAATAGTGACATCTCTTTATGAAACATATCTGACTTGAGCGTGAGAGTGTCTTCTGCAAGTCAACAACTCATCAAAGTGAAATTGCATTCTCGGAGAGGATTAAAGATCAAAAGAGAACAAAGCAAGGAATG